TTTGGGGGCACAGTGTTATTGCAGGGCGGACACACAAATCAAATTCATTTAAATGTTAATATTTTGTATTTGTGTCATAGTGGGGAGAAAAATCTTTTTTTTATTTTCTTTTTTGCAGAGAGAATTAGTGTTTTGAAATGAAGTTCAAGGAAGAGCTGTGAACTGAATACTGTACAGTGTCAGCACATACTGTGTGTTTTTGGAATGCATACTTTGCAGGCACATTATACTTCGAGTGTACATAAGAGTAAAAGTATCTTTTAGTTCAGCTGACCTCTCAGGATGCAGACATGTTGGCTATTTTTAAAATTTTAAAAATATAAAAATAAAACAAAACATTGAGGCTAAAAGGTGAACTGCGATATTTGATTTATTTGTTTGTTTGTTGTTAATGACAGTACATCAGACCGGCCGTGTCAGACTTTGATGGTGTCTCAGAGCTGCGGCTGCTAAATGATAATTAGACCGTAACAAATCAACAGGCCAAGGAGACGGGGCCGCAGGATCCATACGGTGTCATTTGGTATGGATGGCAGTGGTAACAAGATGCTGATTAACTTAGTGCAAAATTACTAATTGACCTTTCTAATCAACTAAACAAATCTCTAAGTCTCTCTAATCAGTATTGATCTCCCCTGTAGTATGACAAAGCCTCTACGTACGTGTGTGTGTGTGTGTGTGTGTGTTTGTACTTTTTTCTGTTATTGATCCAGGACCAGTTAAACCTGGTCCTCATAAGGCGGGTCATCATTTTGCGGGTTCTGATTCATGTTGGTGAGGAAATGAGTGAAAATCAAAGAAAAACTTTATCAACCTGACGACAAGCACCCAAAAAAAAATGACCGCGATAATTCTGCATCTTTTACAATACAGAAACAAACAGCATTTGAAAAAGCTTTTTTTCTACTAACCTGAGAATTTAACATCACGTTAGTTACATCATCATTAATTACATGGGTTCTTTTAACTGTTAAATGGTTCCTGGTTCTGTGTTTGCCAGTCAACTACAAATAGTTATTTACTGAAACTACTGGAAACTACTTCAGTCACAGATATAAGTTGTATTTAATGTATTTGTTTTTATTGAAATCCCAACCTGTTGCAAAGCTCCAATAATTTGAACAGGTTTTTATTTGAGTTTGGTTCAAAACTTTCAAAACGAAATTTGCTCTGATTTCAAAATTCCAAAAACGTAACTCGATGTTTGATGATCGTACTTTCTGACTTTCCTGACTCTGATTTATTTTGGACTTTATTGTGATGGAATCACTGCTGCAAACTTGTATCTGTGTGACAGGAGGATGAACTGAGCTGTAATTAATGAGACCCTCAGTGAGAGCGACAGGTCGGCCATCTTTGATCTGTCTCCTGGTTTGGAGTGATGGAGGGAAGGACGAGGAAGAGTTGTAGAAGTTGACAGTGTAAAAAATTTTTTTTTTTTTAAATGAGACCCACCATCTCCGCCTAACTGCTCCTAATGACACGGTGACATCAGCGTGGCGATGGTCTCAGGGTCGTCTCAATGTAATTACTTTTTCCTCCATAATTTTGATGGCTTCACTTTAATCGTAATCCACCCCCCGCCCCGCCGTCCCCCTACGCTGCTGTAAGTCGTCCACTGATGACTTTGTTTAGCGTGATTTGAAGAGACAGCAAAGTGCAAAATGAATCCGTCCCATTTCAATTAGCATCATCTTGAACCTAATGACGGACACCTCAAGGTGACGTGGCCCCACGCCCTCGTCAACCATTATCATTCCGCACTATGCGACTCATCTAAATTATGCTCTGCCCTGACTTTTTCATTAGCCGCCACTGCCGGCAGAGGCGGGCCCTGTCACAGCGGCACACAGGCACGCCGCACTTAACACCCACAGCACATTTTTCCTGGCTGGCGTTGTGAAGGTGGATGACTCTCCGCGTAATGACCGTTCGCAATCAGACGGCGCTCGGCTCCTCTGTTGTCTTATGTGTGTGTGATGCACAAGGTTAGTGAGAAGATAAATAAAGTCAGGCAGACCATTCCAGCACTGCAGCTCATAAAGACTGTCGTGAAGCAGAGAATCTGTTTTTGTCTTTTAACAAAGTGTAATCAGAGCAGAAGGAAGACGCGTGTCACTGGTTCTGATGATGCTGCAGGAAGAACTCCCAGATGATTGCACTTTTACTAAAGACCACTTTGATATAAGGCCTTCAGCGGAGATGATGGTGGAGCAGGAAGTGGAGAACCTAATTGTCTGTGTCGTAGAACTTTAGTATCTTACAGATCTTGGATTTAACTAGACCAGTGGTTCCCAACCTCTGTGCCGTGGCACATCGGTGTACCGTGAAAGATGGTCGACGGTTGAAAATGATCTATTTTCACTTAATTGCCCTGAAAACGATTATTTGTTTACTGCAAATACTGTATGTTTTTGTTGGTCTACAGCAGAGATTCCCAAAGTTTGGTCCGCGAGCTGCCACTAGGTGGTGTGCAAGATAAAAAAAATGCATTGCCTGTTTGAGTAATTTTTTTTCCCACACAACAAAGACATTAAAATAGGCTATATTTGTGAACGTGTGCTTGCGCGTTTCTGTGTGTCGTGGTCATTTGTTGTTGTTTAGTAGTTGTGTTTTATTTTTTTTTCCGAAGGTGTGGGGGGGTGGTTATCAACCTGGTTGGAGTATAAAAGGGCGTGCGCAGCCAAAAAACGTTACGAAGCACTAGTCTGTGCAAGTGAAAGGCAGAACAAATTAAATAAGTTTTCACCAGGTGGCAGCAGATGGATGTAAAACCTTAAAGAGAAAAAAAGAGCGAATGAGAGCTGTTGAAGCTGTTGTTTAGTGTCTTTCTTCAATTCCTGTGAGTATATCAGGGTTGTGTTCAACTAAATAGACACATGTTTTACATTGAGTAAATTGAACTTGGAAGATTATAATATTTTGTTACATATACGTTTTGTGATATTTTTGTTCGGTGGTGTGTCCTGGGATTTTTCATATGTAACGTTTGTGCCGGGGCTAAAAAAAGCGTAGGAAACACAGAACTAGACGTTGATCAATCTCTTCGTCAACAGTCCCTGAAGATCATTTTAGGTTTTTATTGTTTTGTGTGAATTACCTCCTGATGTTGAAGCTACAGCTTATTAAATGAATGATTTATAAAACAACAATAGTGATGGTGACTAAAATGAGGCTCGTGGTCAGTGATGTGTCCAAAACATTTGATGTTATGTGTGTGTGTTTTTTGTTTTTGTTTTTTCCAGCGAGGGAAATGACCAGAGGGAAGTTCCTGAACATCATGGAGAGATCCAAGAAGTAACGCGTCAGAACAATCATGGATCGTCTTTGCTGAATTCTCAGAATCTCTTTGTAGCATAAAAACCTGTTTTCATATCTGTTCTCCTATTTATTAATATTACTATTTTAAATATGATTTTTCTTATTTTGCTAATTGTGAAGTTGTTTAATAAACTTTAACCTGGAGAGAAACTTTCCTGCCACACAGCGATGTCTGCGTTTGAACTTTAATTTAACAAGCGTTCAAAGTGAGTTCCTGTGAATTCAAATGTTGCGTGGAAAAATTATTTCTTATTGTCCTCGTTGTTAATGAGAGGTGACATAATCACTGGGACTTTTTCTTTCCTAATTAGCACCAATCTGCGTTGGTGAAGTGAGCGGTCGGGCAAAAAAAGGTGGATCCGACAGGCATGTCCAACAGGAAACAAAAAGACGTCCGTCCCACGTAATCAGGTGGGACAGTCACTTCGACTGTTCTCAGCTGGAGACGTCGCCGCGGCTTCAGTCGACTCGCTCTCAATAAGTTCCAATGACGCTGTGATAAGTCTCCGAGCGTCCGACTCCGCCCTTGGGACGGCAGCAACAGCAAAATGAGCGTTTTCTTTTTATTGTTTTTTCAGTTTAATAACAACAAAGAAAAAAAACACCCAAAAACTGACAGTGTCTGCTGTAACAGAAAACAACAGGAGCTCAGTGTGTGATCGGCACAAGCTTCATCTCAACTCTTCCAGGGACAGAAAATAAATTAGAATGACAGCAGGTAGGAATGCAAATGTTCCCAAATCTTCCAGGATTTTCCTAATTAATGGCTGGGGTTGTGAGTCAACTTCACAAATATGTGAAGTTGACTCACAATCCTGTTAGCATGTTAGCCCCCGTGCTACGATGTATTGGTTTTTTTTTGGGCTGGTTTGTTTTTTCTTTCTTTTTTTCCAGCTGTTACCAGTTCTACATCAAGCTAACCCTGCTAACATCACCCTTAGCCATTGCACACTGGTAATTACGCCATCTAGAGGACGATTCCATGCCTTGCAACATGATCAAAAACAAGAAAACTAGAAATGGTAGACGGAGACCACGGCAAAAACCGAGCTAGAGGACGATTCCATGCCTTGCAACAGGATCAAAAACAAGAGAGATACTTTCTCAAAAAGCATTTTAATCCAGGTGAGTGTTTACAGTTTTTATATTTTTTAAAAGATATGGAATATGTTGAAATAAGACAAATTAAGTAAAGTAAACAAATTGTTTTGGCAGTGACAAGTATGTGCCAAAAAATAACATCTGTTAGTCAGGTCGGCTGCGTGGAGACTTGTTGTTGATCCCTGAACTGAGAGCTGAGTGTTGATGTGTTCAAGGACCTGGCAACCTCAATATGGTGCATTCACTGTTGGCTTGTGTGTCTGTGTATCAGTGTGAGTGTGTTGCCCTAACCTCACATAACCCCACCGTGCCCCTACAACTGTCAGTCCGATGAACAGGAAGTGCCCTGTTTAAATTAGCTGTCAATTAGTACAAATTAATCAACTCTTCGCCCAATTAAGCAATGGCACCGGGCGGCTTCTGAACAGGCCGTTCTGAGAGGGCCATGAGGAAAGCTGCAGGCCTGACAACCTTTCTTTGGGGTGGGGAGGGCTGAGGTGGGGGGGGGGCACTTTGATTTTCATGTCTCTTGGTACTACGTTTGCTTTTTATTCATTTTTGCTAAAGCTAGTTTGCCGTCCGTTAAAAAAAAAGGCTGAAAAGAGGAAGTGTATGGAAGGGATAGTTTTTCAAAATAAAGGGCCATGCAGACTAACTTAAGCTGAATTAAGTCAAATGTTTTGCGGCCCTGTGCCAACCGATACACGGACCTGTACTGGTCCCCGACCCAGTGGTTTGTAGAGCCAGGTCTCCTGACAGCAGACAGGTATGTTTCATTAAAGTGTTTGGTGGCTCCTCTCCGTGCAGCCAGATGAGTAGCGGTTCCTCAGCGTCTGTGTGATGAACACATTTAGAGAGCTGAGAGATGGCGTGTCTGCCGAGGACCGGTTAATGTATTCCCTCATGTTTCCACTTCTGCTGCTGTGACCTTCCTGCAAATAAACAAGACATCTGCTTATCAATATTACAGAACGCAGTTTAAGCTTTGCCAGCAGGACGCGGTGTTCATTACTGGGGGCGTTTTTGTTCTTTCTCTTTGCTCCTCCTGCGAGCTGTTTATCAGTGTTTGACCTCAGTGAAGGTTAGCAACTGGATACATTTGTCAGTGGATATTACCAGTGCGTTGAGGACATTTTCTTAATAGTTTAGTAACTAAAAAAAAAGACAAAAGACTGTACCGTAGGTCAATTTTTTACTTTCAACTTAAATAACCTAAAAATAAAAAGCATTTAAACACTAAAATCTTCATCTTAACGTAATATTTCGTCATTTCAAAATAGCCCAAAAAATGTTCAAATGTTCGTCGCTCACCTTTAAGAACACAGTGTTGGTTGTTCAGACCAGTGTTTCCCAACGTTTTCTGAGCCGCAACACATTTTACTTTAGAAAGAAAAAATCCCACAGCGCACCACCAAACAAAAATATCAAAAAGGAATTTAATGAAATAAAACCATCTTCTAATTTTAATTTATTCACTATTTACTCACCCAGTATTCAACCCGGGCCTGTTTAGTTGAACACGATCCCGGTGAACCAGCAGGAGTTGAAGAAAGACACACACACAAAAATCTTCTTCAACTGCTGCCACCTAGTGGAATAGTACTGAACTGATCTACATTTGATCATGACAGATGTATAAAGACATGACACAGATGTTGGAAATCACTCACTCGTTCCTGACTCCTTACTCCCTCTATAGGGAATTATATAAAGTGCACTATATAGTGGAAATGAAAATCGGTTTCGGACATTACTTCAGTGCGCTGTTAATTATGCCATTACTGTTGCACAATTAAAACGGAAGGACGATGGTCCTCCACTCTGCCAGGTCTTCACTGCATGATGGGATATATTTCCTGGGTGGTGACCATCATTTAGACACTAGAAGCTAAATTGCTAACCTAACATGCTAACACCCTCTTACGCTCACGTCGCCCCAGTGTTTGTTTTTTAAACATCGCTACATGTCGTTTTTAACAAACTTAATCACGTCACTTAACTGCTCTTTAACGGGTTTCACATCAGAGCCACCAGAGGTGTGCGTGCCATAGGTTGAGCAACACTGCTTGGCAACGCTTCGCTTTAATTGACGCAAACAATTTTGATTTATATTGTTGTTTTTTTTGTTTTGTTTTTTATAAAATAATTCCAGGAAGTCATGTTAAACAAACATGTCATGTTTGATTTTTAATCTGCAGTCATTAGTTTCTGAGTGTCTTTGATGAGCAACACGGTACACACATGACTGAACTAACCCCCCCCCCCCCACACACACACACACACACACACACACTCGCGGAGCTGCTTCTGTAGCCGAGGATCATAAACAGTCATGTAAGGAGAGAGGAGCAGCAGCGAGGCGCCGTCAATAGAAGAACTCCAGTCGGTACGGAGGGGGGTGGGGGGGTGGGGGGAGGCACCGTCACTCACGCCGTCCATGTTAATAAATGAGTGGCTCCCAACAGGCCGCTGTGTCATTAGCATATCCTAATAACATTGATTCCTTCATTAATAGAATTTCCACTAAATAGGTCCTAATTACTTTCAACTGGTCAGACACTAATTACAGCGGCATTATTTTATCCGCGTCCTCATTATTAGATCGTTTCATAATGTTTGCTGTGAAATCTGACCGCGAGGAAACCGTAATGTCACCGCACACCGCGCATATACTTTTTAATTACTTGGCGGTGGTTTTGTGTCTCATACTTTTTACTCTTTGTTGTGCACAGCGACCGTACTCTTATTTTTAAATTAATTTTATTTATGTCGTATTAACTTGTTATGGTACTTATTTATTTATTTTTTTAATCTTAATCCAGATTTTCAATGCGTAGTAGACCAATAAACTTGGTCCATGAAAATTCTGGTAGTTTCAATACATTCCAGAATTTCGTTTTACATTTGAAAAACAACACCAGCCCCAGCCCAAAAAACGTTTTACATTTGAAAAACAACACCAGCCTCAGCCCAAAAAACGATTTTAGGTGTGGACGAAAAAATAAAAAATAAAAATAAATGTTAAGCCTTGTTAAATATTTTATTCATTATTAGTAGCGAACTGAACTGAAGTTTTATATTTACATCTAAAATCGCCATCTTAAATAGGTCACCTGTTGTATTCATAAATAAATACCAGCATTTTTACAAAGTATTTATTTATTTGTTTTTTAAGTGTTTTTTTTTTTTGCTCAATGATCAAAATGAACTGAAGTGTAATTAATTAAAATGTTAAGATTATCATTAAAATATTCTTTGAAATAAAAAAATATACATTTTGCTACAACGGTTTAATTATCGTACAGTATCGTTGATATCGATATTAATAAATCGCCCAGCGGTATTATAGGGAGTGCTCCAGTCAAACCTGTTTTTTTGTTGTCGTTGTTCTGTTTTAGTAAACAATATACTAAAAACAATAACAGAAGACACGGCGGTTTGACAGTAGAAATTTTTTTTTTTTTTTTACTAAAAATTAGATTTTTGGGGGGGTTGTTTAATAATTCTCCTCTCTTTGGCTCATGTTCTGTACGATTTAATCTGCCACTGATCTGATGCTGCTGCTGCTGCTGCTGCTGCTGCTGCTGCTGCTGTGGGATTATCGCTCTGCCGCATCGTCCAGCTGTCGGGTTTTTTTTCTTCTTCTTTTTTTCCCCTATTTTTGAGGACCTTTGATTTTGCGTGTGATGACTTCCCTGCAGCATCTGGAGATCAATTACCCATCGGCGTGTGTGTGCGTGTGTGTGTGTGTGTGTGTGTGTGTGTGTGTGTGTGATCCAGACTCTGTGCTGCTCAGACAGAATCATAGCTCTGATCCACTGAGGGAACACAGGACTCACGCTGATTTATTCCCGCAGATTGAGGTAATTTTCTGCAAACCTGCTGCATTTCAAAGGTAAGAGGAGCCGGAGGAGAAAATTCAATTAGTCCTCCAACGGAAAAAAAAAAAAAAAAAAAAGAATCACACACTCAGAATGTATTAAATCATGTTTTGATATTTGTGCCACTGAAAACAGTTTTCCTCCTCAGACTCCCTCCTCTCCGCTGCAGCAGATTTTTTATTTTATTTTTTTGTTTTAAAGACACTCGTCGTTTTTGTTCCTCCGTTTCATCCTGTTTCTTAAATCCTTTCCTTCTTCGTGTCTCTGGTCCAGAGGAAAAAAGGCAGGAATGTGTCAGAGAGGGCGTATGAAGCATCCATGATCCAGAGGAATCCTGCATCCTGGCAGCTGATTGGCTGCTGCCTCCTGCCTCTTGTTTGGACCGACCTGTTGGATAAAAGCAGCATTTTTCTAAAGGACTCCTGTGTGATGAGCTGAGAGGATCATGCACTGGGGAGCGGTCTTCTTTTATACAAACCAGGCCGTATAAAAAAAAAAGTATAAAAGCATCCAGTCATGACGGGGAAACAGGGCGCCGTGTTGTCGGAAAGTTTGAATTTGTCGGAGAAAACGTCGCTGGCGGCGGGCGCCAAAGGGGGGGGGGGGGGACAGCTCCCCCGCCAGGACAG